AGAGAATTTATCAATAATAATAATAATAGTAAGCAGCGCATTTGACACAGCTTCTTTCAAGTTAGGAGGACATCTCAAAGCGCTACGCAGTGCTGGATGAGCAAGTGAGAAGGGGGCGTTGACGGGAGCCGAGAGGGAGGTTAGGGGCTTGTGGGGGGCATCTTGCACCAACGATGGAGACCCTCTGCCCACCGTGGCAGTACCCTCTAGCCACTTCCCCCTGTTGTTTCTCCGCACCCTTGTGATATTTATTTCCCCCGCTTATGACTATTTCTCCTAATTTCCTTTTTAAAGGCTTCTGCTGCAGATTCTGCTTCAACCAGCAGATCTGTGATTGTTTAAAAAAGAGCAGCATTCCACAGAGCGGTGTCCAAGTGGGATAGACACCCCAGGGAGCAGCGCAGGCCGGCAGCCAATTTGGTGGGGAACTGAGGACAAGGGCAGACCGGCTACCAACTGAATTCAAGCCGACTGGACACGTTTGACTTCGGATCTTTGCGATCAACAGAGCTTTGGGTGAGACCCTAAACTACCCACCTCCCCCCACCCCACATCCACCCCTCCCCCCCACCCCCAATTTGTGACCTATCCAGGTGGAAGTTAAAAATCCCACGGTGCTGTTCATAAAAGGGAATTCCTCTCTCCCGGTAGCCTGGACAATTCCTTCTCTCGCCCAAATAAAACTGGTCACTTTCTGGCTGTTTCTAGGACATTGCTGTGCGCACATTGACTACTGTGGGCCAGGACAGCAAACTCCCTTCTCTAATCCTTTTGCTTTTGATGTGAGAAGGCGGTCAACAACCTCCAAAGCTCCTGCACAAGGTTTACTGTGTGTTTTATAGGCGGTCACTTTGAGCAAAGCGACGTCCCGTGAACAGTCACGAAGCGAGCGATTGATGTTATTGGAGGGGTAGGGATTGTTTGCCAGGACATCGGGAAAAACTCTGTTCCCTTTTCGAACAGTGTCGCGGGAACTTTAGTACTTCACCTGAACAGGGCACAGACGGAACGGGACCTCGGTTTAACGCGCTGTGCGTATGTGTGTGTGTGTGTATATATGTATGGTGTGTGCTAAAACATATCCTGGAAGTCTCAGAGGGGAAATTCCTGGAGAGCTTTAGAACAAAGCTATTTCGCTGCTGGACATTAACACTGGGTCTAAATACCCATCTGCTGGAAGAACACCTTTCCTCACAAGATTTCGAACAGTTTTCTCGTCTTTTGTTGCTGTTGTTGTTGTGGCTCCACCGAATAAACCACAAGTGGGCTCGCAGACATTGGAAGCGAATCTTTCCCCTTTCCGGCCTCGCTGGTCAGGAGATGGAAAAAAAGTGTGGTGGGGGGGGGGGTTGGAAATAATTGGAAAATAAACATACTTTGCTTGCCCACATCTCCCCCTGGTTTTCCCTGCGAGACAGCCTTGGTTGCATTGTTTGGTTTCGCCTGTGTAATTTAGTGCGTGGTAAACATGCCTTTGGTTTATTTCTCCTGGCCAGTTTTGTTTGATCACTCACTCTCTCGTAGCACGGACTGATCATGTCATGGTCTATGCCCTCCACTACCCCACTTTCCCCTCTGTTCCTCACCCCACTCCGCTCTCCTTCCGCCCTCTCCTCCTTCCCCCCTCCCTCCCTCCTCTCAATGTCCTGAAGCAGCCAAAACAGAAGGAAGCTACTTTTCATTCTTACAGCATATTAGTTGTTGAATCGTTTTGATGGGCTTCACAGTGACTATTGTCCTATGTAGCGAGAGCTCTTGTTGGCGAAAGCTATATTACCCACAGTGAGATGTTAAGCGCTTTGAGACGTCCTCGCAACGTGAACGAAAACTGTATTGCGTTGTACTGTGACCTAACTTTCAGGTTAAAATGTTGCGGCAAAGTGGTCTGACAAGACTGGATGGAATGTTACAGACAGAAGCTTAGGACAGTGGCTGTGGCTTTGGGAGAGGTGTATTCCTGCACCGACTTAAGAAAGTTAATTGACGTGCTGATCGGGTTGGATGGTACAGTATTAAAATGGAAGAGAATTAATGTTTACCCAAGGAGGTCTGCCTTGTAACTAGCTGGAAACCCATCTGAGCGAGTGTTAATGTGTCCTGTGAACTTCAGGAGAGAAGGATTTCTTCACGCTCGGCTTGCCGGCCACCCGCTGTGTGTGACTCCCACTGATAGGCCAGTCCGCAACACAAGAGAGTCCCACCACAAACACACACACGGTGTTTTCTTTGGCCATATGCCAGAGCCGTTTGCTGGGCGTCGATTTTATTTCAGTGACTTCTTACCGGCTCATGCTTTACTCGCAGTCACTACGCTTTACAGTAAAATCCTGCGAAGCACTTTGAGAGGTCCTCTCTCAACGGGAAAGGCGCTGCGGTCAAATGCAAAGGTTGTTATTATTAATAATAGGTGTAGTAATTTCCAAAAATTGGGAGTCGAGCTGGTGAAGTTTTATGAGGCGTTCCTTCCGAAGTTTATCCCAAGTTTATTCCCAGCGAGCGTCTGTGCCCCCCATCCCGGTGGGAAGGAGGGAAGGAATTCCGGAGACGTCGTGAAACTGTGGGGGCAACACACCCGCCGGTGACCGAGCTCCCACCTTAAAGGCTTGTTTGTAAAGCTGTGTTTATATTACGGAGCAACATTCAATTTACACTTTAAAAGAACCTGGGCCTTTTATCATTTGGAAATCTGAGCTCAGGCAAATCAACGACTCGTCATTCTCAACGTGTCTGCGGGCAAGACCCAGAATTGGAGGGATGAGGAGGGAGGGCATATAAGGCGGGGTTGCGGAAAGAGGGCATGTGGGGGGATTGGGGAGGAAGGGCATGTGTGGGTTTTTTTTTGGGGGGGGGAAGCATTTGCCAGATACTTGGCTCAGACTTTAGCCCCTTTAAGAGCCCTGCCTTTGAATTGAACTGCGCTCAGACACGTCGCACAGTGTTTGTTTGTGGGGGAGCGAGCTGTTTTGTGGTGGTTCGTTCTTATTATCTGACCTCAGCAAAGGATGGTGGTGGGGGGAGCGGGCGGGGTGGATGGTGAGCATCACTTGCAAGCTGTGGGACAGCTGTAATTAGGATTTTTTTTTTGCACTTTGTAGTGCTCTTTGCATTCGGCGAAACCTTTTAACTTGTGCGCCCACGCCAGACGTCCCGCGGGCTTGCCTCAAAATGGTTGCTCCACGTCCCGAAGAGCCATCGGGCGTTAAAACGCAAACGACTGCTAGTGAAATGCCTCGTTCATCTCACGCGGCTGTTTTGGGGGTGGGTGGGGGACGGGGACGTCGCTGTGCGCAAATTGGCTGTCGCGTTCCCCTACACAAGTACAAGGTCGCCGTGCTTCACAGTAAATTCTCTGACCTAAATTCCTTGAGACGTCTCGGCGACGTGATGAGACGCTGCACAAAATGGATTATTATTAGTGTTTTATCATTATTTTATCTGTTAGCTCGGGGGGCAAATTTTCGCCTCGCTGTCCACCGCCCCTCGGTTTCGAGGGGCATCCGTTCCGTTCCCCATTGAGAGTCCCTTTCTATTGATTGCAAGCATTTGGGTTCCTTGTGCAGCTTCCGGGTGACCCTTGCCTGACTGGGAGCTCTGTCAAACCAATCCCCTGAGGCGGCCGGGAGCATTTTCTCAAGCGGAGCACCTCACTCTCTCTTTGTTCAGTGGAATCTGCAGCACTGGGCATGTGTGGAATGCCTCCTCCACCTGCCCCTCGTATCATCAATCCCTGCAATTGGTATCCTTACCAGGCTTGCATTAATTATGGGCTGCGAGCACAGAGGCAGGCAGGGAGGGAGGGAAGGAGCCCCTCGAGGAGTTATGGAGCATTGATTGAAACCTGCCAGATAGCTGGAGGAAAGCTCTGCGCTCCATCGCAGCCAAGAGTCGCCCGTTCCTCCAGGCACCAAGATCTGGTCTTTCAAAGATGTGGCTTGAGAACAATGGCTCGGGATAGTTACAGTCAAACAACGGAAGTCGGCTATGTCAGCCTAAGTCACGCTCTCGCCTCTGAGTCCGAGAGTTGTGGGTTCAAGCCCCACGTCGTGGACTTTCAGCTGACACACTGCACTGAGCAGTGCTGGGTGGGGGGAGCCCTACATTATCGGAGGCGCCATCCTTTGGATGTGATGTTAAACCGAGCTCCCCATCCGCGACCCTGTTCAGATGAATGTCAGGGATCCCCGTGGACACAATTCGGAAAGAGAAGGGAGTTTCCCTCCCTGGCTAACAATCCCCACAGATAATATCGTTCATTCACTTCATGGCTGTTTGCGGGATGTTGCTGTGTGCAAATTGGCTGCAGAGTTCTCCTACAAATACAGTCACAGTCAGGGACTTGAACACACAACTTCATGACTCAGAGGTGAAATGTGCTAGCCTCCGCTCCCCTATTCCAGTCGTCAATTACCCTCCGTGCACAGGCCATGGTAAAGCCTCTCATGGGGTATTCCTTTGACTCACAGCGGCCCAAAGCAGTGTTCTCAGTGACCTGGGGTCCCGATGAGGACAGGAACATTCACAGTGAAAGAGACAGCAGCCCTGATAGGCTTGGCAATGATCCAAGCTGGAGCCAGAGCCAGGTGGATGTGTTGGATCTTATTCAAGTAGCCTGAGGGCTCCTGAGAGCAGCTTTCAGGTAGTGTTTGATAGGTAGCGGAGGGAAGGAGGTGTGTGTGTGTGTGTGTGTGTGTGTATGGGGGGAGAGGGAGTGGGGGTGGGGGGGGAATGGAAGAATAGCTTTTCCTTTGCTCTCATTTCTCTTTCAGGTTGTGTCGAATGAAGCTTTCTCAGACAAGTCCGATCAAAAATTGTCTATCTCCTGATGTCACTCGCAAAAAAACACACACAATCAAAGTAGAAATGATTAACCCTGAACCCAGTGTGTGGGAGTGAATGAAAGTTTAAGGTTTCACATCAAGTGGATTAAGGTTTGAATGAGAACAGTAATAACAATGATCATGGTGCATTGGAAACTCTTTGGGGGTTTTAAGTTTGCAAACATGACACAACAGAAACTCGCCTGGCTTCTCAGAGTAAGTTGGGCAGGTGGGGGTTGAGGGAAGGCGGAGGAGGGGGGGGCGGGAGATGAGAGGGGGCGGGCGATTGGGAAGAGTTTGACAGACAGGCTGATCCGGGGTGAAATACAATCCATGTGGTGGGTTCAGACAAAAGCTGTGGTGAGTTGGCTTATCATTTTTTTTTGTCAAGTCATCAAAGTCACCTGTCAGATACAGTATGGAGGAATCCAGGCCAGCGTGTTATTTAAGCACGTAATTGCGCCTTATTTTGCAGCGTCTCACAAAGCCTTCCTTGTGATGGTCTGCAGGTTTCTGTCCACCCAAGCAGACACAGTCGGGGGAACGAGAGCTGGGGGGGAGAAAGGTGGAGGAGCTTGGATTAACATCTCACCCAAAGGATGGCCATTTCGACAGTGCAGCGGTGCTCTCTCTCCCCCCAGGGCTACACTGGTTATGCCAGCCTGGACTTCTGATTCAGAGGCGATAGGGCTCCCTACTGAGCCAGGCTCATGCACTCCGTATAATAATATTAATAATCTTTGCCTTTGATATTGCACTTTTATTACGTCGTCGAGACGTCTCAAAAGGCTTCACAGGTTATACCGTAAAGTGGATTGACTGTATTTGTGAGGGCGAAGCTACTTGGGTGGAAAGAAAGAAGCAAATTATGGTTTCTGCAGAGAGAACCTAAAGCATTTTTATGAACGAGCTGGCAATAAAGTCTGATTTCCCCCTCTTGGTATTTCTCCTTCAACTCACAGAACCAGCCGGGTTTAACAAGCCACTTCTCAGACATCCAACAGCAGAGCAGTTAAATTGTACAATTATTGCCAATTACTAACAAGATTTGCTGGTAAAATCCTATCACAGATTTCTCGAATAATTATTGCACAGACAATTTAGAGAGGGTGGGTGGGGTGGAAAAATTACTGGGTGTCGCTTTCTGACCAGGAAAGCACCAAGAGTATCAATTAAAAGTTACCAACAGATTGGTCTTGAAGATATAAAGAAGATTTGATGTCCTTCCTCGGATTATGAAACCAGAAGTAAAACCAGACGAACCAATTTTAACTGAAGCAGTTCTAATAAAAGTGCTTGAATAGTCCTCAATGCTGATTCCGTCCTTCCCATTGTGAGTAGTGCCAGAGATCCTTTAACATCCACCAGCTCAGGCAGAAGGGACCTCAGTTTCACATCTCTACCGAAGGCCGTCACCTATGAAATGCAGTGTACCACTGGAGCATCAGCCTGGAACGATCATGAGCTCAGAGGTCCAAGGGGAGGGTGGGGGGTGCTTTAAACCTACAACCTTCTGGCTTGGAGGCAAGAACGCTACAGACATCCATTGTGTAAGGTAGGCAAGTGCCCTCTTGTTCAGGCTGGATATAAAGAGGAGACAACAACAACAAAGTTATATTTGTATAGCGCCTTTCACGTCAGGAGGACGTCCCAAGACTCTGGACAGTCAGAGACCTGAGAGAGGGGAGTGCAGGGAACAAAGAAGCAGAAAGGAAGTCTGTACAGTGAGAAGGCTGAGATCTGAGTGGCCTCCCAGTGTCAGTCACATCCATAAACAGCTCGACCTTTTGAGTCTGTGCCACAGGAAGCCATGCTCACTCCCTGCCAAAGCTTCTTACTGAGGATCTTTCATTCACCAAAAAATTCTCCCTGGTTGCAAGTGTACAAAAGCAGACTTCACTGTAAATCCGATCTGTTATCTGTTGTCACAGGAGGAGCAGGCACTTTACAGAAGCCTTCACTAAACCTGCTGCTGACAGCAAAACTCCCTAACGTAGGCATGTGCAGTGTCGATAGCGTTTAGAAGGATCTGGACTAAATGGATGAACTAAGGGAAGGCAGCTGTTTTGTTAACGTGGGCAATGTAAGGTAATACAAAACATGTGTAGGCAAACAATGAATGTCCCTCAGTTAATGTGGATTGCAAAGAGCTGGGTGAGACATCTGGTTCTTAAAGGACCTTTGGCGGATTCTCAAGGGAAATGACAGAGAGCCTGGCATTGGGAAGAGAATCTGTAAATGTAAGCTGTCGTTGAAGACAGACAGAGAGTGGGGGGGAGGTTGAGACCGAGGGGTCGAGGGAGGGAGATCAAGAGGTTAGGGTCAGAGAGAGCTCAGCCCCCGATGGATAAGTTGGGGGGAACGTGGAGCAAGCCCGAGTTAGCCGAGCGGAGGGGGCGAGCAGAGGAATGGGGTAGGGTGAGATCAAAGAGCTAGGAGGTGCTGGGGTGTGTAGGGATTTGGAGGCAAGGGTAAGAACCTTGAAATCAATTTAGGAAGCAGGGAGACAGTAGAGCCTGGCAAGAACTGGAGTTTTGGGCGTGAGGAGTTTGGTGAGGGTGAGGATGCAGGCGATGGAGTTGTGGACAAGTTGGACCCAATGGAGCTCAGAATACTGATAATATGTACATCCACGTTCATTGGAAGCAATTCAGGGCTTTTCTACATACCTTGAGAGAAATTTCTACTTTACCCCTGATAACTGGGCTCATCAGCTGCTGAAGAAAAAATGCCACAAAGCCTGAGAATGGGTCAGATGTCGGGCTTGTAACGTTCCCTTAAGGGGTCCGAAACTTTGTCAGCTGTGCTGTAATCTAAAGAGGTTATGATAACGCGCTTGTGTAGGTTTCAGCCCCTTTCACTCCTCCATCATCTCACACCTGTTAGGCTGAGGTATGTCTGGTCTTCATCTCCGCTCGTGGTGAAGTAACTAATGGAGTGAGATGAAAACCAGCCTCTGAATCTCATTCAAACATGACCTCGGAGGAAACCTGAGCCGACTCAAGTGCCTCCTTGCGGGTTCCTCCTCAAGGTCCCTCCAGAAAAATGGGGAACGGATTCCTGAGGCAGGGAAGTTGTACAAACAAATCCAACTTGGTAACTTTTTTTTCACATTGCATTTTTGCTCAAGCCGGTTGTCTGACACATGCGGAAACCCATCATCCTGCTTAAGGGTAACCAAACCAAGCTGAGCATTCCATGCATTCCACTTGCACGTGCAAGTTCCAGTGACAGGTTTCAGGGTTCAGTCCCCATGGGTCTCCTCCAGCACCCTCGTTAGCTGCCATCATTCTTCATGTGTCAGCTCAGCCGGTGAGCATCAATGGCAGTGTGAGCTCAAGGAAGAGAGGGAGAATTTGCAGCCAAGCCTGATCTTGTCTTCGCCCAGCGTTCGTACCTGAGGACTCTCCAGGGGAGAGCAATGATTGGCAGTGGGAACCTTGGCTGATGATTCTCCCCTCCCTAGCCTGGGGTTGTTGAGGTCAGTTGCCACTCCTCAATGAGCGACGTTCGCAAAGCCCTTTTGAGGTGTCCTCCCAACGAGAAAGGCGCCGTGTCAATTGTAAGGGTTGTTATCACATACAATCACTGAGCTGTGGCACAAGCTCAAAACAGTGTTTGACTTTTTTTGTGTGTCAAAAAAGAAATGCTTATTTATTTATTTATTTATTTATTTATTCCAGCGCCTTGAGATGTCCTTCTGACGTGAAGAGTGTTCTTTTAATGTAATTGTGTTGTTCTGCGGCAAAGTTTAAAAGGCAAAAACACATTTCTGTACTGTGGGTAAATAATAATAATAATCCTTCCATTTGATATCTTTATCACGTCGTTGAGATGTCTCAAACTCTTCACAGAATGTGCAGTTTTGTAAAGTGGATTGACTGTATATTGTGTGGGCCAAATGCAGAATACACAGTCAAAGTATTTGACAGTATATTTTGCGGAGCGATGTGAGACATCTCAATGATGCGATAAGGTGCCATATCAAATGCAAGGATTATTATTATCATCATCATCATCATCACTATATAACAAAGTGTCTTTACCCTGCAGAAAGGATTGAATGCAGAGGAAGAGGAGAGGGGGAGGAAGCCTGGAGATGTGTACTGTCCACACAGCATTGTACAGTGTAGGCATATGTGTATATGTGTGTGTGTGTGTGATGCACTGAGTGCTTAGTCAGAAGCTTATTGGTTAGAGCTGGAGCACTTTGTAAAAGTGAGCCCCAGCCCAGTCCAGCCCAGCTCAGCTCAGCTCAGCCTCTCTCTCTCTCAGTCATACAAACTCTGATTTGGGAGACATTGCTGCTAGCTTCTCCCCCAAACCCACCACCCCCATCCCTGTCTGTCTGCCAGCCTCAGAGCTCTAATGCACAAGCCCCCTCGCCTCACCCACCCCCCACCCCCAGCACCACACAGAGACACCCTGAGCCCAGCAATATGTTGAAGCAGTGGATTGCAACGTTCACAGTCTGGGTGTGTGTGTGCATGTGTGTCCCTGGGGGTTACAGGCTGCGGCAAAGCTTTTAAAAGTTTTTTTTCTTCTTCTTCTTCCTTCCTTCCTCTCTCTCTTTCTCTCTTTTTGGGGAGAGGAGGGAAAGAAAATAAGAGGCACACACCAAACAAAACAAAAAAAAAATGGATAGTCTTTACCTGCTCTGGAATATACCTGCTCCATTCAGCCACGTCGTGATGCATCTGTTCACTGCAATCTGGCTTGGCCACACCATTCAGGCAGGTGCCCTCAGTCTCTTATTTTGTCGAGTGACTGAATTGCTTACCTGTTGTGTGTGTGTGTGGGGGGGGGGGTGGGGGGTGTTGTGTGTGTGGGTGAATTGCTCACCTTATAATGCGTAAATTGCTTATTTACCTGTGTGGGTGTCTGTGCGTTATGTATAGATTGCTCACCTGTGTGTGTGTCTGTGTGTGTGAGAGTGTCATTAAGTTCTGTGTTGAGTGAGTGAATTCGTTACCTGTGATGTGTGATGTGTGTGTGTGTGTGTCATGCATGAAGTGCTCACCTGTGTGTGTATAATGTGTAAATTGTTCAGGTGCAATGCGTATAAAGTGGACGTTGATCAGATCTGTGTGTATAACCGTGAAGTTGATCACCTGTGTGTATGTGTAAATTACAATGTGTGCATTGCACACCTGTGTGTGTGTGTGTGTGTGTTATAAGGTGATGTGATCACCTGTGTATATATGTGTGTTATATGATCACCTGTGTATATATGTGTGTGTGTGTGTGTTATGTGATGTGATCACCTGTGTGTGTGCATAATGTATAAATTACTCAGGTGTGTGTGTGTGTGTGTGTGTCGAGCAGTATATTTTATTGCAGTGACAGAATTGAGCTTTTATTATTTAACAGTTTCTTATTTGTGTGTGTGAGGGGGGGGGGAGGGGGGGGAGGGTAGAGAAACTCATCCCAAACCCATGAATTTTTGGAAAATATATATATATATACTGTATATCTGCAGACTTTGCAGTGTTGCAAGGCTTCCCACGTCTCAACATTGTTCCCTGTGACCGAACCTGCTGCACATTCTCGCTCCCACAGTCACAGCCCTGGATTAGAGGATGGTTCGTATCTGATTCTCTCTCTATCTCTCTCTCTCTCTCTCTGCTATTGCAAAAATAATATTAATGTGTGTGTGTGTGTGTGTGTTGCAACTCACCCTCTCCCTGTCTCTGCTTTGCAAAAAAAATAATAGTGTGTGTGTGTGTTGGGAAGAGGGGGAAAGGAAAAGCAAACTGTATTTGTGTGCATGTCATTGTGAAATGCACATCTATCTCCTCTCTTGATTAACTGTACACAGTTTGCAACCATTGCACAGCGCAATAGTACTCTCGAGGGCACCTCGTGTCAGTCTCTGGGTTGGGGTTTCCCTCAGTGCTGACTCTCTGCCTGCAGGAGAAGATCATATTTACAGCCTCCAACACAACCCCACCACCACCACCACCCCCCCAAAAAAAACACAGGAGGGAGAGAGATAAACAGGGAGAGATGGACAGGGAGACACACACACACAGAGAGACACACAGAGAGATAGACAGGGAGAGACACAGGCAGCAACACAGGGAGAGACACAGATGGACAGACAGACAGACAGACAGACAGAGAGAGAGATAGAAGGAAAATAAGTGAAAGTATCTGATGAACCCTTTTCCCAATGTCTAAGAGAGACAGAGAGTGAGAGAAACGTAAAGCTAAAGTTGCACTTTTATCTCTATTTTACTTTTAGCCGCCAAATTTGGGAAATGTGCCCTAATAAAATGATCCTTGCATTTGATATAGCTCCTTATCACGCCTTTGAGACCTCTCAAAGCGCTTCACAGGATACACTGTAAAGCGCATCGACTATGCGTTCTGTGGGTGAAACGCGGAAGCCAATTGCGCACAGCAGCGTCCCGCAAACAGTCGCGAATTTGAGTGACCAAATTATTATTATTTCTTGTTCATATACTTTTATATTGTAGTATATTTTGATACAAAATAATAAGCATTTCGATGACGTGTTTTTCTGCAGCACAGTAAGGGTTTGCGGGCGGGTAGATTAACACATTAGGTTTTGGGGGGCAATATGGCATTATGTTATTTTATTAATAATTCTGACCGCTTACCATTCATAATTTTCCAGACTATATCTTGCTGACACCTGTTAAAGTGGATGCTAGCGGGACCTATTTATCACACGACCTCACGCACAGAAGTCGAAGGAAACGATCGGAGGGACAGTTGCCCGGGGAATCTCTACATTACAAACTGAACTTCCTGGGACAGGAGCTGCAGTTAGACCTGACACCGTCCAACCTGCTGGCTGAGGGCTTTACCGTGCAGACTCTGGGCAAACAGGGCACAAGGACGCAGATGTTTCAGCCCAGCGCAGACTGTCTGTATCAGGGGTCCATCAGGAATGAGAAGCGATCAGCTGTCGCACTGTCCACGTGTGGGGGTCTGGTAAGTTGCGAGCCCAACTTGCTCTCTCTTTCAGTGTGTGGTTGCTGCAAGCCATAATATATTTGTTTGATCAGCCGGGTGGGTGTCTGACCCATGTGGAAACCCATCATCGTTGCTTAAAGAGCCTCCAAACCAAACTGAGAATTCCCTGCATCCCACCTACACATGGAAATCCCAGAGCTAGATTGTTGGAATGGAATGCGCTCTCTCTCTCTCTCTCTCTCTCTCTCTCTCACTCTCTCTGGAGGGACATATCCTGTTTACCTAATTCCGGAAAGTATTAGGCACAGGTTGGCAAGAGCCAAGGCTTGGGGGGACCCCAGAGTGTGCGTTGGGGGTAACTGCTGGAATCTAAGCAGCCAAAACTGCAAAGCTTGCCATTGATATCGCCCGTCCCCCCATTTGCATTGTTGTTTTGTTTCATCCTCTTGCCTACAATTAAACCAAATTGATGTCTCTTTTTTTCTGCAAAGCCCTGAGCATTTATCTTTTACTGTCGCCCGTTTTATGAATACAGGCTTCCCCCACCCACACACACACACACAGACACTCACTCTCACACACACACCGTGCCTTCCCCTACAATAAGCTTTGGCAGTGACCAACCATTCTTCTTGAAGCCCTCTGTCTCCACAATGTGAACTGGGACAAAAAAAAACAAATGAATGAGAAAAGATGTAAGGCTTCTCTTTGATCTGATTTCTACATGACCCCAGGCAGGGATCCAATTATTCTGTTGTCTTTTGTCTCGTCAATTGCGCATGAAGTAGAGCGAGAGAGAAAGAGATCGAGAGAGTGTGTCTTTTGGATATCATAGAATCTTACAGCACAGAACGAGGCCATTTGGCCCATCGTGCCTGTGCCGGCTCTTTGAAAGAGCTATCCAACTAGTACCACTCCCCCACTCTTTCCTCACAGTATCGCAAATTTTTCCTTTTCAAGTGTGTATCCAAATATATAGTTGAAAAGGAAGTTTGATTCCTGGTTCAGATAAAATCATTCAATAAGATAGTTTGACCCACGCTCCCCTCATCCCCCAACTCCTCATTAGCTGTTAGCTTTGCCTACAGTGAAACCACATGAAGCTGTAGGTAGGCAGGCAGGTAGGTAGGCAGGCAGGTAGGTAGGCAGGCAGGTAGGCAGGTAGGTAGGCAGGCAGGCAGGTAGGTAGGCAGGCAGGTAGGCAGGTAGGCAGGTACTTACATAGACATGGCAAAGTGCTCATTTCTCAAACTTTATGAGCGATGTTCAATAATTTAGCAAAAAAAATGATCGACTTTAATGATGGACGGTCCGCGAAATGTCAGTGTATTCATCAAAAGCAACAAAGCCCCTAAGTTCCACCATGTTCCACGATGACACAACAAGAAGTTTGGGTGTCAGCTTGGCTCAGTTGGTAGCACTCTCCCTCTTGAGTTGGAAGTTTATGGATTCAACCATATAATAATAATAATAATAATCCTTGCATTTGATATAGCGCTTTTCACGTCTTCTCGACATCTCAAAGCGCTTCACAGAATAGACTGTAAAGTGAATTGTATTTGTGGGCGAAACGCGGCAGCCAATGGCGCACAGCAGCGTCACATAAACAGCCGTGGATTGAAAATGACCAATTTATTATTGTTTTGTTTTTTGGAGGGATTATTATTAGGCTCTGTGTGGAGTAAGGAAACTTGCCCAAGGTTTCGCCCTCTGCCTGGGATTGAACTCAGGTCTCTCACTTGCAAAGCGAGTGCTCTAACCACTGAGCTTCAGGACTCCTTAAGGGGATTCAACCCTCATGATGGGTCTTTGAGTTCATACTCCAATGCAGTGCATAGGAGTAAACTGCAGGGGTTTGGAGTGGTGAGTGGGGGAGAGGGCAGGTAAACTGGACTGAAAGGATTGCTCTTAAAGGAGAAGACACAATGGGCTGAATGGCCTTTTTCTGTGCTCTAGAATTAATAATAATAATCCTTACATTTTAATATAGCGCCTTATCACGTCGTTGAGACGTCTCATAGCGCTTCACAGAATATACTGTAACGTGAATTGACTATGTGTTTTGTGGGTGAAACGTGGCAGCCAATTAAGCACAGCAGTGTCCCGCAAACAGGCATGGATTTCTTTTCGAAGAACTGGCACAGACACGATGAGCCAAATGGCCTCCTTCTATGCTGTATGATCCTATGATTAGCCCCTGAAAAGCGATCCGCCAATTGGCCACCAACCAGGTGCCTACTCACTGCTCGGTAAACAGAGGTGCGCGCGGAGTAAGGAAACTTGCCGAAGGTTTCGCCCTGCCCGGGAATTGAACCCGGGTCCTCTCACTCGCGAGGCGAGCACACTAACCACTTACACTACAGAATTTCTATGGTTCCTGTCTCTGGCACTATTTATTGGGAGTTCCATCATCAGTGTCACGACCAACAACAATTCCTACTGGGTTCAGTTGGATGTTTCCGCTATTGCAGAGTTCAGAGCACGAAGGAACGAGCCACAGTCATTGGAAACGGTTCTGAACTGCAAACCCTGCTGCAAGTTCCAGGAGTCAAACCATTGGTGCAGTGGGCGAGCTATGAAATCCAGGGTTTTTTTTAACTGTATGAACTGTTCCATTTCAACTGCCCGGAGCCGTGCTTGTTTATTCAGCCCTTTGTGCCGTTGTTTGTTTTGCTTGATAAGAGATTTATTTGGAGCCGTGATTCGGAATGTAGAAAGGCCCCATGTTTACCCCTGGCCGTTTGTTTCATGTTTCTGAAGCAGTTCGTTACTCAAGATTGAACAATTTTAATGAACTGACCTTCGCAATTGAGGTTTTATAATGATCCTGGCATTCGGCGTAGCGCCATTTGTTCACGTCGCCAAGACGTCTCAAAGCGCTTCACAAGGTTTTACCGTGAGGTGAGGTGACTTGTGTGTTTAGCGGGCGAAACCGGCCGCTAAGTATATCCCTGAGAGCAAATGACCAGTTTTATCTGGGAGGATTGTCGGCCAGAACATCGGGAGAAACTCCCTTCTCTTTTCCAACAAATTCACAGGATCTTCAATGTCCATCTCAGTCCCCCCTGCTACTCGCTTGGTCTCACAGCCTTCTGACCCAGAGGCAGGATTGCTACTGAGGGGACACCTGTGTATTTCCAAATTGAGACATTCCTCCTGTAGCGTGCTATTTCCAGCTGTTCCAAATGCTTAGTTTCAGACCAGATGAAGCCTGAGAAGAGAGTTTCTCTCTCTCTCTCTCTCTCTCTCTCCGTGTCCTGGCTGACAATCTTTCCCCCCCGCCCCCCACTGATAAAACTGTTCACTCACTTCATGGCTGTTTGCAGGGATGACGCTGTGCCCAAATTGGCTGCCGCAGTCGCCCACGAAACACACAGTCACACACCACTTTACGGTGTAGACTGTGAAGCGCTTTTCAGGTGTCCTCCCGATGTGAAAGGCGCTGTGTCAAATGTAAGGCTGGCTATTATGGTTTCTCTCTTGCTTGTTGTGTTTGACAATAACCTCCTGTTGATACTTTCTTTAGATGCTCTTATTCTAACCCTCAGCCCACTGAGTAAACAGGAATTTGCTTTAGTTTTCACAGGCCACCGCTGTGAGCAGTGATTTGGCCCTTGCTCAGGGTGTGAATAAACAGGAACTCCTTGTAGGAGTTGTACAAATGGCGAGACAAGTGGCCCAATGAATCATTGCTCCATTATCTTCCACTGCCTCGCTCTGCATGACCATAGCTGAGAGCTACTGATGGGAGAGGCATTTCATCTTGGCAGCTTCACATCCCAACTCTTCCTGGTCTCCAAATATTATAGGAATATTGAACAGGAGTAGGCCATTCAGCCCCTCGAGACTGTTCCACCATTCTACTTGACCATGGCCGATCAGTACACAAGCAGCCCCTCAAGTTGCCTTGTCAAGTGGCTCAGTCATTTGTGAACAACAACAATCACAATAATAATCCTTACGTTTGATGTAGCCCTTTTCACGTCAAGAGGAAGTCTCAAACCGCTTCACAGAATATACTGTAAAGTGGATTGGCTGTATTTTTGGGTAAGCTTCTTTGAGATAAATGGACAATTGGTGAATGAAGCTCTTTTCACAGGGAGGCTTGGTGTCAGAGATGCAGCATGCGGTTAGAACGTCAGTCACTACTCACACCATGAGGGATTCCACACTACAGTGACAATGGCGGGTTTGGGCTCTTGGCTCTGGGGCCAATAATAATCAGTCTTGTTTCTTTCTTTCACCTGTCGATGAAGATTATGATTAACAATGCAAACTAATATTGTTGATACATTCATCATGTGACAATAATTGCTCCGCTACTCTACCCCACGTGAAGGTGTACAGATCCTTTCACAATGGGAAGAGGTCTCAGAAGCCCTTCACAGGATTTACTGTTAAGTATAGTGACTGTGCCTTTTGTAGGCAAAATGCCGTAGCTGATTTCTGCACAGCTTGAATGTTCGCCTACAAAACACACGGTCACTACAATTTGAGTGTGTCCCGTGAAGCACTTTGAAACGTCCTCCTGACTTGAAAGACACCGAGTGCAAATTCAAGGAATACTATTTTCATTGCTATTACTGTACAAGGCGATCTTGCCTGTGAATAGTGGTGACCTGAGGAGGCAGGCAGAGGGCACCCGTGAGCTCTCAAGGAGGGAGACTGAGGAGGGAGAGTTTAACTGTTCATTGCCTGCGCTGGCCTTTGGTGTGTCTGCAGCTCTGGCTCCTAACATGAGCCCGAAAGGGTACAGAGGACCTCTCTGAGTGACGTCCACATCCCAATGTCTTATACAGTTAACCTCTGTACAGCGTCTGTCATGTCTGGACGGTATCTCAAGGCGCCTGACACTGCTGATCGGGCATCCGAGTTGGGGATTGGAACTGAAAGGGGTGGGAGAGGGGGAAGGTTAACAAAAGGGCGGTTAAAGAGGTAGTTCTGTGTGTGCCTCAATCCCTCCACTCCACTATCGGTGGCCGTGCTTTCAGCCACTGCCCCACAGCCCTCTGAAACTC